AGTTAGATGTAATCTTGGACTCTGACCTATCCTTTTGGCCCCACATTCAATCACTTTCCAAATCTTGCTGATTTAACTTCTACATCTTCAAAACAGGCCTCTTCTTATCCAATGGCACCAAACAGCTACTAATTCACTCCTTTGTTCTTTCGTGCCTCTATGATTACCCTCTCTGTCAGTCCCTCCCAAAAAATAACATTCAAAATACCAACAACAAAGCCATCCGCAAACTCACCAGCCCCATCTCAAAATGTCATCCAAACTGCCCTCTCATCCTCCGTATACTTTCTATTCCCTTGTCACTGCTTCCCATGGAAATCCCTATACCAATATGTTCAGCTAACTCCTACTCTGTTGGCCTTTAAGAAATCCTTGAAAACCCATGTGTTCAGGAAGCCTATTTCACCTTCACCAAAAAAACTGTTCTTTTACTTTCTCCATCTACTGAATCCTCACTAATTCTAATCCCTTTTATTGCCTTTCATATCACTTGTCCCTCCCTTTTCGACTGTCAGTAGAGGTGATTATACCTGAGTTCAGTTCAAGGCAACTTTGACAAACATTACAGAAACATTACAGAAGTTCAAGGGCCAAAAGAGAACCCCACTGAAGTCAGTGAGAGTTGAATGTAAAAATCAGTTTGGGCCATTTTCTATGCTATGTAATAGGCAAGGGGTTTTAAAAAAATTACACCTGAAGCTGGGTACTGACCTGGGGAACATGTACCAAAGGAAAAAACATTTTTTAAATATTCTCATTGTTGGGGAGCAGGGATCTTAATAATGTCTAAATTAAAACATTAAAATGAAATGTTCCCTTAAATAACATGCCTGGGGTGCTTTTAACCTGCCTGTGATGTGTTCATCCTACTGCAGCAAAAATGGGGTCTTGTCCTCATCAACATCACTGGCTGATGTGATTTACAATGGATGTACACTATGGGATATATATATATTTTAACCACTTGCCCTCCTGAGGATTTACCCCCCTTCCTGACCAGGCCATTTCTTGCGCTACGGCACTGCGTTACTTTAACTGACAATTGCGCGGTCATGCAACACTGCACCCAAATGAAATTTACGTCATTTTTCCCCATGAATTGAGCTTTCTTTCAGTGGTATTTGATCGCCTGTGCATTTTTTATATTTTGCTCTATAAAAAAAAGACCGACAATTTTGAGAAATAAACAATATTTTGGACTATTGCTATTAAACAAGTCCAGTGAAAAAAATTTTAAAAATCAAATTTCGTCATAAAGTTAGGCCAAAATGTATTCTGCTACATGTCTTTGCTAAAAAAAAAATATGTGTAAATGAATTGATTTACGTGAAAGTTATAGTGTTTACAAATGGCATTATCGATACTGGGATTTTTTTTTCTACTAGTAATGGCGGTGATCAGCGACTTTTAGCAGGACTGTGGGACTGCGGTGGACATTCTGATACTAGAGGGAACTAACTTGGTGTCACTGACATCCCCAGTGACACCAATACAGTGATAAGTGCTAAAAAAAAAGCATTGACACTGTACTAATGGCACTGGACAGGAAGGGGTTAACATGAGAGGTGATCAAAGGGTTAACTATATGTAGGGAGTGTTTTACTAGGTGCTGGTGGTGGTGGTGGGGGGGTGTGCTTCACTGTAAGCACACGGATTGGGATGGCACTATCCCGAGCAGTGTGCTCGAGCTGAGAGGGAGGAAGATTGTTTGTAAACAAAACAGTCTTCCTCCCTGTCGGAGATGCTCAGTAATCACGGGGCACCAGCGGGTAATTACCAGATGGGGCCCGGTGATTGACAGCCGAGGCTGCGAATAGCAGCGCTCTACCTGGAAATGCAAAATCACATTTACATATGTGATTTTGTGCACACCTGTGGCACCCTGTAGAAGTATTTCTGCTACAGGGTGGTCGGGAAGCGGTTAATATATATATTTTTTATTTAATAAGGGACATGACACAAACAGTGTACATTTTTTTTTTAACCTTTTTTTGTGAACGAGCAGTACTATGCACCCCTTACATATCCACATGGGGGGGGGGGGGGGGCTGGTATCTAGGTGCTTCCTTTCTCTTTGGATGCTTCCAGGGTTGTACAATAGTCGACATAGGGACAAAGTACTTTGCCAGTGAAGGGTCCCCCCTGGCAGGGTATTTCTCATCATGTGTCAAACTACCTGTCTATGACAAGGGAGTCTGTCATGCATAACATTATATCACAATCCTGTCTGAAAATCTGTAAAACAGTGTTGTAGGTCTTTTTTAAAAAAAAATAAATTTATCTTTAAAAAAAATCTTCATCTCTGACTCTGATGATATGTACCAGATTCAACCTCTAATAGTATCTATATCTCTTCTGTCTGTTATTCTCAGAGTGGATTAGATATTTTGTTCTCTAACCATATAGCTGGATATATATATTTCCACTACATATAGATATTCAAGAATAAATTCTCTTTTTTTAAACTTTACATATTAACTTAATTATACACCACGCTTTTTTTTGAGGTTTTATCTGATTAATCGAATAATTGAAACAATAATAGGCAACTAATTGATTATGAAAATATTGTTAGTTGCAGCCGTACTGTTGCTATCTTAACATACAGAATTCCTAGACTCATGTTCTCTAGCCACTGTATATCTCAGTCTATGGTATAGTGCCTGAGATTAAGGGGTCTGCGTATCAAAAATTCAGTGTTAATGTTGAAACATTTACACAGCCACCATGAATGATTGCCATATAATTTTTAATATGATCGTTAGCTCCATCTAGTGTCCATAATGCAATACTCTTTTTTTATTGAGGTTATTTAAGGAAAATACTGCATAAAGGCCACTAGATGAAGCTAATCATCCCAGGCAATTCTATTACAAACAATGAGGCGATCACCTGTGGTGCCTGTGCATATTCATGACATCAACACTATAATTTTTTTAAGCATTGACCCCCTAAAACTCTGATCACTAAATGCTCTCAGTAAAATCAGTAAATTGTTACTTCAATCACAGCACAATGCATAAAAAATGCAGTGATATGCACTATAAAGGTAAATGACACATAAAGCAGCATTCATTAATATCTAATGTATGACATAAAGCCTCATTCAGAAGGGGTCCTTTAAAATGGGTTTTAGACACATTTCCACATAGCGACGTGACTAAATTGGCTAACATGGACAATGCTCAGTATTTACCAAATTACTTAAATCATTTCCATTTCTAACTGTCAAGACATCTTTACTTCAGTTCTGTTTACTAGCTTGAAGACTTTAATGTTGAATTCTGTTTTGAGCCTCTTTTAATTAAACATTTGCCAGGATGAATCCACTTTGGCGATAGGAATACTTGACCCTTGGATAACCCCTAGAATGCCAGAAATGAAATACAAAATCTGTCAGAATGATTGAAAGAGATGCTTTAGAGCTGCAGCAGACTATGAGGATGAAAGAGAAAATGTACCAGAGGCCTCAGGGTAAAACATCTCAGACTACAGATTCTTTATTTAATGCAAGTCGGGGGACTAGAGAAATGATGCTATGCCTAGAAAATGAGGGAACTACTGCTGATCATTACCCAACTACTAAATAATTAGGCACTCAGAAGTAGGTTATTGTATGGATATTCCTTTATGTCTGTGTTGCAAATGCATACATTATTAAATGATGTTTCAAAATATAGGAAAAGTTGAAAAAAATATTAACAAGCAAAAAAAAAAAAAAAAAAAAACCCCACTCAAAATGAAAAGTTATATTTTCTGGATCTTTTATGTAAGTCAAAGAACTTGGAGGCTAAGCATTAACAATAGGATAGCTAAGCGTGCTATACCTCTCCATACTCTATGTCAGCAATATCTTTGTTGACCGAAGGGTACATATTTGTCGGTAAAACAATTCCTAAGAATATTTTCAAACATCTGCTTCTCAGGCTCTAGCATAGGATTGGGGTTGTACCAACTACCTCCATTTGGTTCTTCACAGGTCTCTCTTATGTAGCTTAAGCTTGTTCCTGTCCCAGCAAAACTTTAGCAGTTGGTGAACTCACACTGTGGCCAGTTAGACTAAACTACACTCGAGTTTCATCCTCCTCCCTTCCTTGTTGGCCTACACTCTGGACTGTAAGGAAATGTTCCTGGGCACCCTCATCTACTGACCAGACTGCTGATCTGTGTTTCGTTACAATGTCATCTATGGAGAGTCCTGTCCTCCAGCACAGTTCATATTTGCACTGAAGCAAACCATACCAGACCACAAGTAAATTGTGCCTAGAACCTCCTCTTCCAAATGGTCCTAGGTGCGGTGCCCTTAATTGATCCAGGGGCAGTTCAGAGAACTCACACTACACAAACAAACCGGCCCAAGGGGATGAACCACACCCAGGACTGGTTCAAAGTGCCAGTGTGAGTGCTATCTCAAATTGCAGCAGAGAGGCTCACATTATAAGGAGGGAAACTTGGGGACCAAGTTGTGAAGACAAGACTTTTCCATCCCCTTCTGGATGGTCATCTAAATCCTGTTGTGAAGGGATTAAAAAGGTTTAAGAGATTAATGAAGTTCTTAACTACCTGCCGACCGCAGATAGCCGAATGACGGCTTTACTGCGGCCGGCCAGTTCTGAGTGGACGTCATATGACGTCCTCCCAGAACGCGCTCTCCTGCGTGCCCCAGGGGGCGCGCACCCGGCGATCTCCGTGATCGCTGTGTCCTACGGACACAGCTGATCACGTGATGTGGTAAAAGGCCAATCACAGCGGCCTTTTACCACGTGATCAGCGGTGTCCAATGACACGCTGATCAGAGGGAAATGCAAGTGCCGGTTCTCGGCTGCACTTTCCTCACGCTGTCAGATCGTGAGGAAAGTACTGCCGAGAACCCGCAGTTGTCAGAGCGGGGATCGGCACCGATCATCAGGGCACTGATGATCAGTGCCCTGATGATCGGTGCCCAGCAGTGCCACCCACAAGTTCCGCCCACCTGTGCCCAGCAGTGCGCCCACTAGCTCCGCCCACCTGTGCCCAGCAGATCACCCACCTGTGCCCAGCAGTGCACCCACCTGTGCCCAGCAGTGCACCCACCTGTGCCACCCTGCAGTGTCACACACCTGTGCCCAGAAGTGCCACCTACCTGTGCCCAGCAGTGCCACCCACCTGTTCCCACCAGTGCCACCCACCTGTGCCCACCCACCAGTGCTGCCCACCAGTGCCACCCACCAGTGCAGCCCAGCAGTGCTGCCAGTCAGTGCCACCAGTCAGTGCCCAGGGGTTGTGCCAGTCAGTGCCACCAGTCAGTGCCCAGCAGTGGTGCCAGTCAGTGCCGTGCCGTCTATCAGTACCCATCATCAGTGTCACCTATCAGTGCCACCTATCAGTGCTGCATATTAGTGCCGCCTATCCGTGACACCTCATTAGTGCTATCTATCAGTGCCGCCTATCCGTGCCACCTCATTAGTACTGCCTATCAGTGCCCTTTAGTGCTGCCTATCAGTGCCCATCAGTGCCGCCTATCAGTGCCCATCATGTGCCTGCCTCATCAACGCACATCAGTGAAGGAGAAAAAATACCTGTTTGAAAAATTTTATAATAGAAACAAGGACTTTTTTTTTTTCTTCCAACTTTTTTTTTCAAATTTTTTTGCATTTTTTTATTTTAATAGCGCAAAAAATGGCAAAAAAGCGCCCAAGTGGCGATTAAATACCACCAAAAGAAAGCTCTATTTGTGAGAAAAAAATGATCAAAATTTCATATGGGTACAATGTTGCATGACCGGGCAATTGTCAATCAAAATGTGGCAGCGCTGAAAGCTGAAAATTGGCCTGGTAAATAAAAAGGGGTATAAGTGCCTGGTAGGCAAGTGGTTAAAGAGGATCTTCATCCTGTGAACAAAAATTGAAAAGTCAACAGCTACAAATACTATAGCTGCTCACTTTTAAAAAAACACACTCTTGCCTGTCCTAAGATCCAGCAATGTCCTCACCCGAATCTGCTTATTGCCCTGTCTTCGGTCCAGTAGCCGGCATCTTAACTGTGGGCAGCTGACTGAGACACCTTGTGGAATCACAGCCGGCTTCCCACTGCACATGCTTGAGTTGCACTGCCCCCATGATTGGTCCTGCAGTCTCCTGGGACCTCTGACATGTCCCAAGAGTCTGGGGGTGAGGAACTTCCGGTCCATTCTTCTAGGTGGCCAGAGCAGAAGAGGGAGCAGGTACCTATCAAGATAAGTTACTCACTCCCCCTCTTCCTCCAAAAGACACTCCAAACATGGGAGAGGAGGGTGGGAGGAGCAGAAAAATTGAACTTCCCTTTTTGAGTTTTGGCTTTAATATCAGGTTTCCTCAAGCTAAACTGCAGGTATGATTTTTATTGCATAGTTACATTGGACCAGCTGGAGTAAGTATTATATCTCAGATTGCTGTAGAAGTTGTAAATCCCTGGTAGTCTGCACTACTACAGTGATAACAGCTAACTTCTGGATCATGTGCAAAGTGGCTTTACTGCATAATAACCACAGGGGGTTGCATGCTGGCACTGCTGCCATTTACACAATGCCTTGTATTTTTTTAAATAAATACAAGGCAATCTCTGATTGAACGAGGTGGAGAGGAAGGATGGTGACATCACAATCTCCACCTTATCAAATTAGAGAACACCTTGTATTCATTAAAAAAATACATTCTAGGAATGACAGCAGTGCTGAGCAAGCGAAAAATCCTTCTAGGTTGATAGATCACATTATGACAATCTGATAAACAGCTGGACTATGCAAGAAAACAAACAAAAAAAGTAGTTCTATATACAACCTGTAGATGTCCTCAGCATACTGATTTCATAGCTTACAATGTGCATCAATATACTTTGTAAATGTTTTATTATTTTTATATAATATTTATAAAGTGCCAACAATTTCACAGCGCTGTAAAATGTCTAAATATTTTACAGAGATTAAAGGACTGCGCCGCTTGGGCAAGTTTCAGTTGCATTTGGTAATCACCAACAGTACATCACTGAAATGCATTCAGTCTTTTGCTGCATCAATAAAGTTCCATTAATGTCTGTTCTTTGAATGTGTTGGCTATACGTAAAATCTGACTCTGCTGTATTATTTAAATCTGTGGTAATAACAACTTTAGCATTCACAGTTAAAGTAAAACTGAGATCTTTCTTCTGTAATTAAGCTCACATACACTTGGAGCCATCTACATACGTGTTGGAAAACATCCTCCCACTCAGTTCAGAACTTCCTAAGTTTGAATTTAAAGGGTGTGGTGGGCGTGTGCAAAGTATGCTTCATCCTGCATTCTAGAAGTTCTATATGGTAATATCATAACTACAATTCCCATCATTCTCATCACCTTTTTCCATAATAGTTAGGCATTTCTCGCAGAAAGAAGGGAGGGGTGGGTGGAAGGAAGGAAGGAAGGAAGGGAGGGGTGGGTGGAAGGAAGGAAGGGAGGGAGGGAGGGAGGGGTGGGTGGGTGGAAGGAAGGGAGGGAGGGGTGGGTGGAAGGAAGGTAGATTGGTGCTCAGTCAGATGCATCAGAGCTGTTGGCTGCTGTGTTCAGTTTGCAGCCCACACATCCTCTGATGCTGCACAGACAGGAGTGTGGGCACAGGGGGAGGCAGAGCAGATCCAGCCTCTCTCCCCTCTTCACCTATTGGTGTGGAGGATGGAGGGAGGGGCTGGGCAGTGAGAAGAACACATCAGTGGTGGGAGGGAGGGGAGGCAGAAAGAAAAACTGAACCATCAGGTACGTTCTGTGCAGCAGTGGGGGAGGTGACAAGCAGCGACCTCCTGTATGGCTTTCAATGAAGCAGCTGGAAGCAGCCTCCTCTCCCTCTTGCGGTTTCCTGTTGCTTTTGAAAGCCATAGAGGAGATTGCTGCCCCCACCACCAACCCTCCTCCCAGCACTGCTCGCCTCCCCACCTTATTTCCACTCGCGGGCTTTGCGTAGATTGCTCTTTTAGACATTATTATACAGAGGGATGTAATTTCTTCTTTAAAGCGCTTTTTATCGACTTGCCATCTGTGGTGGGAAAGCTCCATTTACAGGCTCAGTTCTACTAAAGGCTGGATATATTCATCACCAAAATAAGCCTTTGCCTAGGGAAGTGGTCTCCAAACTGCAGTCTGTGGGTGGGATTTGGGACTTTGCTTGCCTTTATCCTAGCCTTGAGACCTGTTCCTCCCACTGACACTGAGGCACTCTTCCTCTCACTAACACCAATGATGAGGCATCATTCTTTCCATTGATACCAACAGTGGGACAATATTCCTTCCATTGACACCAACAGTGGGGCACGATTGCTCTCACTGATACCAATGATGAGGCATCATTCCTTCCACTGACATCAACAGTGAGGTAGCAATCTTTCCACTGACACTACTAATGGGGCAATTTTCCTATCACTGACACCAATGATGAGGCACTATTCCTTCCACTGACATCAACATTTGGGCACTATTCTTCCCACTGGCACCACTTTTGGGGCACTATTCTTTCCACCTACACCAACAGTGGGGAAATATTCCTTCCACATATAAAAGTAAAACATATTCGCTGGGGTGTTTAAAAGGAAAAGCAACCAATAAACAATTGTGATACCAATAAAAAAAAAAAAAAAAAAAAAGCAGTACCAAATTACAGTAATATTAAGTGTACTTAATTAGCATCCTAGATGTGAATATAAAAATACATACACCAAGGAATTCAGTTAATCCATATAATACATATATCAAAAAGTGAAAAATAAAGTCCCAAAGTTAATAAAATTTAAAGCAAAGTCCTTTCACAATCCAAATTAAATAAAGGGTTTCCCCACACTTCAACTTCCTGTTGAACAAAGTGATCATCCACCACCAAATGCCACGTTCAAAGTCAACTAAATCCCTTTTCATCCCCTGGACTACTGCAAGTCCCTTCTCACCGGCCTACCCCAACACAGACTATCCCCGCTTCAGTCTATCCTGAACTCAGCAGCCTGATTCATCCACCTTACCAACCACTCCTCTTCTGCCACCCCCCTCTGTCACTCCCTCCACTGGCTCCCGATCTCCCAACGCATTAAATTCAAACTACTAACACTGACATACAAAGCCATTCACAACGCTGCCCCAAACTACCTCACTGACCTGATACCCAAATACCACCCAACCCGTAATCTTAGCTCCTCACAAGACCTCCTACTTTCTAGCTCCCTGGTCTCCACCTCCCACGCCCGACTGCAGGACTTCTCCAGTACTTCCTCCATCCTCTGGAACTCACTACCCCAATCCATCAGACTGTCATCTACCCTCCTCACCTTTAGGTGCACCCTGAAAACCCATCTCTTCAGGGAAGCCTACCCCACCCTCACCTAACAGCCGATCTCCTCCACTCCTCCTACCACTCCATCCCCCACAGCCACTTCCTCCTGTACCACTATCCCTCCCTCCTAGATTGTAAGCTCGAAAGAGTAGGGCCCTCGAACCCCTCGTGTTTTGTTTTGTTACTGTATTGTCTCATGTACTGTCCCCCACTATAATGTACAGCGCTGAGCAAACCTTTTCGCGCTATATAAATACTGTATAATAATAATAATAATCCCCATTCTGATGCTCGGTTTGAACTTCAGCAAGTTGCCTTCACCATGTCTAGATGCCTAAATGCATTGACTTGCTGCTATGTGATTGGCTGATTAGCAATTTGTGTTACCAAGCAGTTGAACAGGTGTACCTAATAAAGTGGCTGGTGAGTGTATATTTCCCATAAGGCACCATTCTTCTTTAATACATTGTACATAACTCTTTATCTCCCAATGACGGGAGCAGAGAGAGACTTATAGTAAGAAGATATACTATAAATGTACCTGTAAGGTATTTTTTCCTTGTCTGTTGTGAAAAACTCCTTTGTGGCTTACCAGTGAACATAATGGCATCTGTGTATCCTCTCATTATGTCTGCTGCACTACCAGGGGCGGACTGACAACTCATGGGGGGCCCCCCCTGTGTCCTTGCCCAAACTCAAATAAGCCTATGAAAAAGGTACCAGGGGCATCTCATGGGGCCCCCTACTGACCCCCCGGGCAATAGGGGATCATGGGGCCCCTGTGTCCTTGTCTAAAGTCAAAAAAGCCTATGAAAAAGGTACCAGGGGCATCTCATGGGGCCCCCTACTGACCCCAGGCCCTTGGGCACTGCCCGAGTTTCCAAATGGTCAGTCCGCCCCTGTGCACTACTAAATCTCTCCATTGGTTGCTGTATTGTACTCCTCTCTACTACCAGTTACATAAAAAGCATATTTTAAAATAATAACTTAATTCTAGCAAGAGGGAACAATTGAGTACTGTCCGTACTTAATTTTTTGCACTAACATCCAAAT